TAATGATTATTACTAAGGATTAGGGCTTCTGCAATATATTCATGGATTGTATGTTACTCTATTCCGATGAGCTTTTATAGCGGTGATTGCTTGAATCAACTTAATTTAGAGGAAACGAGTCAAAAAGTCATATTATACTCACTATTTGCCTAGTTCCTGCTAACTGCAAAACGATTTGTGGAATAAAAAGCGTCGAGTCGTCTCCTCAGCAATATTTATTTTAAAAAAGCCGAGCTAAAAGGATTCACACATATTCTTCCCCAGTATAAATAAAAGTAACTTTCAACAAGTGACATGAAAGGTCTATTCTAGAAGCGTCTCTCTCGCAAGATAAGAAGAGCGTGTGTTTATATGTAATGATTCCGGTTTGACAGACGCAAAACATGCACTGTGTCGACGAAAATGTTATAAAAATCAATCTAATGCAGATCCCCTTTGCTTAAATGTGCTTCCTTCTACCAGATCTCCATGAGGAAGTGGCGGATAACCCGCATAAGAGAAACACAAAGACAAGTAAGATATTTCATACGGCTGTGCTTGTAACAAGGGTAACAGAAGGAAGAAGAAAACACATTTGAAAAACATTCTGAAAGGAAACGTACCTTGCTTGAAATCTTTTGTGATGATGTTCAGGAGCGTGGGTGCTTAGAAGCTCGGAAACATGTTTGTCGAGTAAATTTACAATGGAAAATTATTGGCAATGTAAGCATGTACAAATACGGGTATTACTTATTTCCGCTTTGATACAAACATTCCTCGCCAATATAATATACGAAAAAACTCAGGCAGACACAAAAGTTATAACTGAAGTGAAAAATGGAAACGATATTTTAGGCTTATGTTTATGACGCGTTTCTCAAACATTCAGGTCCACACATCAACATCCTTAAGAAGATTTCACTTATATACTTGTAATATAATGTATTTCATGAAATAAGTGAACATCTAACATGTAAATACTAAACTACATTCATGCCTTTCGCTATGGTACGCTTTAGTTCAGCCTAAAAGGGATTTAACCGTTAAGCTGATGTTGAACAGATTTAATGTCATATGCCGAGCTCAAAGTTTTCTTTATAGAAAAGACACTACTACTGATTTATTTTAATTCGATTTGATAAAAGAAGAATGGCCAGATGCTTGAATGAACATAATGTATTGATGCATACAAGCAATTCAATCGTAAAGTACAATATTAGTTTCGTAGTCTGATAATTAAAAAAACGGAGAGGGGTATGTCAGGACAAGAACTACCATAAAGACAAGAGGACTCACGATGTTAAGTTACATGTGCATAAAAGAACAAAATGAAAGAACAATCATATTCACATGTTCACATTCAATTTGTTCACATCAATGATAAACAAATATAGTCTAACACATTTGTCTGGTTTTAAATACCAATAGAATGAATGTAACTTTACCATTAACCAATTAATATAATAATAAAGAATTTCGGCCTTTTAAAATTATAATAAACTATTTGTCCAAAACTAATCAGTCTCTACAAATATTAATCAACTGTTTCCACATCAGTAAATCTTTAATATGCAATTTCAAATGTTACTCCCCTTATCTCATTTAGAATTCAAGTAACGATGCAAAAAAGGAGATGTTACAACAACTTACAAATACAACTCTTAACTCTTGTCAAGATACGTTGTGTACTCCTCTTACATGTGCATCTTGATTTATCCAACTTTAATAGTACTGATGAAGTGCATTTACCATTAAATATAAAGATTTTTTTTTAATCTCATGAATAATACAATATATATACAGCTTCACATGTTTATTTGGCTATCCTGACTCGCCCAACCAAACTCCTACTCAATACCCCGCGTTGCTCAGTGGTATACGAAACACTCCTGGATGCAGTGATAATGAGAAATATACAACACGACCCTAATAAATATCCAATACAGTGCACAAGATTGTATTGATACACCTATCTTTGGAGCTTTCTGTCTAATCCTCTGGTTATAATTAACCAAAATCAATGAGTACAAATGTCTAGTGTAGCGTATGAGAGGAGGGGGGGGGGGCTTTGACAGGACGCAGAACACCAAGCCACACACAAAGGAGTAGTGTGAGTCATACTTTGTACAATGATGAATGACGTATGTCAATAGATGAGAACAGAAAGAAAAAACCCTGCAAATACAAAGCAGGGAAACAATGCACCATAACAAAATGATAATTGATTATAATATACATGTTCAACATCATCTGTTATCTGACTCGTACACCAAATTACACCTTTAAAAAAAACATTTACAGGTACAAGTATTAACATTTAAAAAACAACCATACAAACACATGACTCTTCTATCACAAATAAATAAATCCAACTGTTAAATCCTATCAAACAGTCATTAATATAACTGGGCAATCCTGACTGATTCGCCCAACTAAGGTTTAACCAGAACAACAGTGTTTAGATGTAGCCTCACACCTTGCTGTTCTATCCAGTCACTCTTCTGGAATTATATTATATGTAGCAAAACAACATTACCCTACGAGTGCGAGTACTAATTCCTTCTATATAATAGTAAACTACAATATATTTAATAACAATATCTGAAATGTATTTTGCATCCACAAAAACATAAAAATCGTTAAAGTCGTGTCATATAAAATAACCGAATAATTACAACGTTTGCTGAATTTGAACAACTGATGAAGTGATAATGAAATGACATCATACAGTGTATTTAGTATAAATGACATAGTCGATATTCCGGATACCCTTCTAGTATAACTGCGGGTATTAATACATATTTCTCCACAATTTAACCACAGAACGACAATTTACATCTTCTACAAAGATAAACAATGAATCAACAATGGAAAAAATAATAATGTAACAATGCACTATTAACAATGACTCATACTCCTACTAGTGAGCATCTATACAAAATAATTAAATACTACATCAACATTGCTATACAATTGATGATTAACTACTTATACTTTTGTTTACATGAAAACGAAAGTACAAATATAACCATCGTCTTTTATCAACATATTCACATACAAATAATAAATTATACCTGGAGTACCCTCCGCTGTGATCAAGCTCAACAACTCATAACTGATGGGAGTCACTGAACACGGGTCTCTATACACAGCAACAACATCTCTTATTACTGCCAACCCCTTAAATATTTAAGACATACATATCAATTACTTGTGTATAGTATAGTATAAGGCCCAGCTTAACGTTTTTCAAAGTGGGGTCTAGGGGCAGAGCCCCCGAAGCTCGAGGGGTATTAGCATCAGTGGCGGATCCAGGAATGTCTTACAATGAGACTTTGTTGTGGCTCTGGGTACTTTGATTACACTGACCCATTATTTTTCAAATTGAGAACTTTGAAAGTTACTGATATTCATTTTATGCAAATTGCAGTGTACATTTACCGACTTAAAAACAAAGAACTGCCTTTATCATTTTGTAACGGTTTTACTCTTAATATACACATTCACAACTACCCAACCAGACATTCTTCTGATTTCCATTTGTTTACGCCAAACATGGGGGGGGGGCGATCCCGGAGGGGGACGAAGTGGGGGCAAGTCCCCCCTCAATTTGTTTAGGAGGATCGTTCCCCCCCCCCTCAAAATTTGAAAAAGTGCCCCAAAAATGTTTAGCAAATACTGACTAAGACTGCAACACACTTTTATGCTCTGAAGGGCCCAACAGTGCAGAGTTTAGACAAATAAAAATGCAAAAATCTTCTCACTCGGTAGCTATGCTCCCTCGCATAACATCCTTCAAAATGTACAAATAAATACCGAGAAAAGTGTAGTGTGAAAAAAAGTTTTTTTTTATTTTTTATACAGTATAGTTATAGTTTTGCTAAGGAATACAACCAAAACTTCAAGAACCTGTGAGGGGGTAGTCCCTTCGGTCACCTTCACCCTTCTCATTCACTATGCTCCCTCGCACTTGCGTATTGATAGGGGGGTCTGCGGAAAGTTCCCCCTCCCCCCTCCCAAAATAAAATTCAAACGTGGTTTATTTTCAAATTCGATACTAGTGATTTACAAATGTGCTGAAATTGCATTTTCCCTGAGCTTCCGGGGGCTCTGTCTATGCGAGCCCCTGGTTGCTCGTCTGACCGTAATTCAATGCCTAAAACCACTGAGTTTCATGGGGCTCCGCCTCTTGACTCCCCACCGCCGGGGCTTTGCCCCGGGACCCCACGCTTTTTGCTCATTACGCCACTGCTCCCTCGTCCCTCGCATAAACAACGTATCACGACGTGACAGATCACTTTTCTCTAACTTCTAACCAATCAGAAGGCCTCGTTTTTTCAGGAAATGCCGGTGGACATAAATGCGCCAAATGTGGTTCTCAATTTGCTAAAGATCCCTACTCTTAAAGGGGGTAGAAAAAAAATTACGTCATATTACTCCAGGAAGTGCCTAAAAATTCGTCTAATGTGGTTCTAAAATTGCAAATGCTTCCTACTCTGGGAGGGGGTCAGAGCCCCCTACCAGCCCCACCCCCGCTTGGTCGCTCCGCTCCCTCGCCGCTAAAGCACAAATTTGCATGGGGTGAAATATATTATTAAAATGATGAAGCGGCAGAGCGAGGCTTTAGCACAAATCTGTGCATGCTCAGTCCGAGTGGTGGGTAGCATGGTATTTCCCAGCAGTGCTTGTCGCAGTAGCTTCCTGAAAGGATTTTTTTTTTTACTAGTGTTACTGTTAGTGGCCACTATGAGGCACATTAGTGACTATACAACAAATATACTCTTCGTGGCTATTTGGGAATGTGTCAGTTCGCAACAGAAATGGAGAAACGCTAATTTTGTTGAAAATCATGTGATATCACGAATATTTATAAATCACTTTTAGGGAATGTAAAATATGTTATTTGGGGGGCTAGCGCCTCCCCAAGAGCCACCCTCCAATTTTCGCAAGTGAACCGTAGTCGTGGATCGAGAATTATTAGGTGACCAGCTAGTCGGATTTGCAAATCTCCGGGGCTTTACGGGAGGACATTGGAGAAAATCATCCTCGCTTTCGCTAGCTTCCTGAGAACCTTGGTCAGAATCATCCTCGCTTTCGCTAGCGTCCCAGTTGAGAGTACCTAGGTCAAGGTCATTCTCATCAGATGGGCGAAATCGGGTGTTCTCAATTACTTCTTGCGTTATGGGCGGGTCGTTGAGGTCTTTCTCCAATTCCTGTTTCAGACCTGTGAATTCCATGTAAAGTAATTTTAGTGCATCAGAGTCTGAAACCTTACCAGTACTAGTGCTTGCATTGCCCTCTTGTTCCATAAGAGTGCACTTTACATTCATATTCTGCAATGAATGTTTCTGGCGTCCAATGAAATCTGTCATTACCTTGCCAGATTTTGTGCGAATGTCATTGATTTGTTTTGATAGTCTTTCCTTGTGTCTTAGAAGAATCTCTGACTTTTTACGAAAGGATCCATCTACTTCTCTCTCTAGATTCTCCAGATGAGAATACATATAACGCATTTGTTGCTCAGCATTGGTAACAGACTTTTTGATCTGTGCTTTCTTCTTCTCACTTTTTTGAATGACAGACTTTCTTTCCTTTTTCAACTCTGCTTCCAACTCTTCCTTCTTCTTAAACATGTGACCCTGATGTTTATCAAACAAACAAGTCAGACAGATGAATTCCTTGCAAACCGCACACAGAATGTCTTTGTAGACTTGACTGTGCAGTGCACATAACTCTGATTTTCCATTGACCTTAAGATGTACATGTAATTCTTCCTCGAGGCCTTTTACAGAGAAATTGGGTGCAAGTCCTGCGACTCTATTTTTGTCCAGTTTGGTGCGTTTCTTACAAACCGGACACTCCATGAAATCTTGACCTCGGTGATGTGAATCGTATTTGTCCAGACAGACCTTGCAGAATGTATGTCCACAGGCGAGGAGGGTCGGGGCTTTGAAGGCATCGAGACAAAGTGGACATGCCAGACTTTCAGGCACCTGTAGTGCTATCTTTTTAGCCATAGTACAGTCAGTCAAAGATGCATAAACTTAGCGAAAAAACGTAGGCAAGAAAGTTCAGCTACTTAATACAAGCACAAAGTCAAGGGCAGAAATGGAAACGTCAATATGTCTGAAATGAAAAAAAGGAAAACAAACTATACTTTTTGTTGCAAATTATTGGAATTTGAGCGCGTACGTCTCTTATCTCTTTACTTGCTAAAAAAAATTAAAATCCAAGACCTAAACTGTCCCATTATTTTTATTGATTTGCACGTGTGTTAACAATTAGTGACGATACCATTGCTGAATGCCCATTGTCAGTTCAAACTGGAAGGCTGCCATAGCCTGTGTCGAAACGTGGGCTAAGTCATGGGGGGGGGCAGTCTGTAATCAGATATTTTTTTTGTCACATCATCCTTTTAAGAAATTCAAAATTCAAAGCTTCAGTCATCCAAATCCCCCGAAAAATGATATGTTACGCTACCTCGCTGTCAAATAAAAGTATAATTCGGGCTCCACGATCGTTGCGGCGTTGCCCACATATATATGGAGGTATTCACTTGGCCGCCTTTATCATCCCGCTTCCAAATTTTGCGAGCGATTTCCTCATAAAATTACGAACTCTCTAGGTTTCTAATATACGGCTTACATAAAATCAAAGTCATATTCGATCAATTTATGTTTATATAACCGAATGTTCCCGTGTTACTCCTAGATATGTCTTGCGGCACCCTACTTGAAAGACGCCGTACCAGATGTCAAGGTATCTGGGGGCAGATTGACCAAGCCGGGAGGCCAAATAGTCCCTGCCCCTGTACAGAAAATGATGATGATAAAGATGATTGTATGGCGCCATATATCTGTTTAAAAAATATTCAAAATCCATACTCTCTTTGTCTTTTTTTCCCGTATGTCTTCTATCTTTCACTCCTATCTCCATTTCTTTTTCTTCTCTGCTGTACACTACATCAATGACGCAGATGATTATGATCACCCAAAAGCATGTTTCGAGAATTTGATAAACAATTTTACCAGGGAGATGTGAGGTTTCTTCAGCTAACATCTACTTGTGATTACTGTTTGATACCTTGTCAACTATTTATATGAGTAGTAATCGTGTAGACCCTATTGTGCCTTGACTAAACTTGACCGACTATATTACATAAAACATGTCCTCAGTAAATAAACTGGAAGTGAACTTTTTGTCGACCACGTAAACTTAGTCTGTTGTTGAAATATTAACAGAAATACTTACCCATGAGTGTGTACCATATATATATTTCAATAAACAACTGTATATATATTTGTTTATGTTTTTTCATTTAACCATCCCTATATAGCAATATACATGAACATGAAATGGTCGAGTATATATCATATGCTACTCCTCCATCAGAACTAGTGTATGTACAGAAGTTGACACAATTTTCGCGCATATTGATTTAGAACTAAAATATGCAATACGCTGTGAGATAAATCTTTACAATTATTCAGTATCTGTTACCTCAACCTTCAAACGTGTGCTTCTAACAAAATACCGAACGATATTTTTCCAGCTATTTATATCTACATGCAACCAAATTATAATATCGACAGAACTGATTGCTTAATAACCTACGTGAACTAATGCCTCTGGGCATTTCCAAGCCCCAAACTTGACTATAAAATTTAACAATAAATACTGTTTTATGGCTGTTACATCACCTACCTAGAAATTAGTACTACATTCATTATCATTATCATCACTATAATTATTGCTCTTATTATCAATTTTGAGCGTGTAGACAAGCCTAGAGCTTAAAACTATCATCATTTTTTTTTTAATTCGTTTGTTGGAGGCAAAACGAATTCATTCAACCCCAAAGGACACCACATTTGGCAAGCAGTGTTCTTTTACGAGAAATCTCATATCAATTATACAATAATCAATAGGATCATGAATAGCGGCTCAAGCAAACCTTTTTGGTTTCAAGCAGTTTTGGGAGGTTGTTTTGATTTGTGTTGTTTTAATTAAATCCTAATGTACCATAATGGAGATGATCTTTAAATCTTTATGCCCATCATCTTTTTCTTTCGCTCTAACGTTGTTCTATTTAATTTTGTATGTATTATCATTATTCATTTTCTTGTGGGGGGGGGCGGCACGTACCCTCTAGTTACGCAATAAGTCATAGCAACACATGATCCATACCTACACTCATTTACCATAACTTTCCATGATTATAGTCGATATTTTTTTTATTTTTTTAAATTTCCATAAATGTAAAAACAATTATTATTTATCAACAAAACATAGAAATTCATAATTTGCTTTTACGTTTCAACTGTAATCTAGATTGGCGTATACAAAGGATCGTAACATCCCCGAGTACAATAAAATGTTTGTTTTTTGTCATGTTTGTATTGAGGAGTACAGGCGCACGGTTAAAATATGGAAGACTATCTTCTATTTAGGAGACTATAATGACGGAGATTTTTTTTCAAGATGTTTGTAACCCATTTTGGACTCGGGAGAAAGTCTCTTTCTGTCATAACAATTTCCTTTATTACATTTACTGCAAAGGGATACCAGTGGCTCACATCAATACGATGAGCATATTTCTCAAGAAAATGTATTCCTTTTGACTGTTTATTTTAAAATGTTATCATCTACTTTTTTTTACAACAGTTTTGTCGTTTTGATCCATATACAAAATCATAGGCTTTCTGACCTCAGAGAGGCAAAGTTTTGGAGGGGAAATTGTCTTGTTGTTGATGTTGTTTCTGTAAGCAAGTCTCCAATACGGGAATACAGTCTCTCAAATAAGAGCGTGTCCCATCGACCCTGCGCCTGGTATTTACTAATGAACGCTGTTTAATTGTCCAAGTGTGAGATCTAGTTTGAAATTAAATTATCTAGAGAACTATATTTACCCACGACATGTAAATTCATATAAGTACAATGTAACATCATGATATCTCTACAAGTAGACCTTGCATTTTCGTGAAATATAAGCCACTTTTCATTCACTTTGACTTTCTTTCTAGCGGTTCATCTGAACATGGGGCTTGGGGTTGACCAAAATCTTAATTCTCTGAAATCGGCGGTTGTTCTGCAAAGTCTACGTCTGGATCTATTGATAACCTTTCAGGCTTTTTTTAATTACAGAATTCCCAATACAATTTTATTTCTGTGTAGGCTGGGGAATATGCCATGGCCACCTCCTCAGATTTTAAATGCAAAGAGCAAAGAACGTGTTTGGGCACATCCAATGACCAATGTCATATTTCACGAGAATGCTTTACATTTGATGAATGTAAACTTGTCAAGCAAATAATCAAACTTACGATAAAAATCAGTCCTGGATTCTGAAGAACAAAACGAACCAAGTACAATCCAGTCTAGTCTGCGAAGAAAAACACAATGGTCCACAAAATTCACCACTCATAACCACAGAACTAGAAAATACCAGTTCTGTGCCCGTGACGTGGAAAATGAATGTGCGCGTGCGCAGATATATTAAAGTACAGTATATCTCAACAAGCGCGCCAGCGCCAGTGTGCGATAGAATTTGCATGCCTCCCTGTAGTATTTATTGATCGTATAAACTATTAAACCGTGGACCTTTCATCTCTCGTGTTCTTTTGTTGTCTCCATCCTAACCTCTCGTTCTATCTTTCACTCCTATTTCCATTTCTTTTTCTTCTTTGATATACACTTTATCAAGCACGCAGATCTGATCACCCAAAGCATTTTCTTCATAATTTGACTGAAAAATAGGTATCAGCAGGAAGATGTGAAATGTTTACATTTCACATCTATCCGTTATTGTGCTACGTTTACACTATGTATCCGGCGGCCATGGCAGCCCCGCTTGCCCGAAACGTAGTGCGCCGTGTGATTTTGGCAATTTTTTTTCTCTGTATACAAGTTTTGTTAGGTCTTGCCAAGTTTTCTCACAATCTATCATGGTATCCCTGACGGGCCGTGGGGGAAGAGGATGCTAAGTCCCAGAGGCTCCAAGGCGCACTACGGTTCGGCCCGCGGTCTACCACAGATGCCAGAACGTTCCCTCTCGGCCCGTCACGTTCTGATGAGGTCCCTCACGTTTTTCACGTTCTGCCAAGGCTTTCTACGGCTGCAACGTGGACGCCGGGCAGCTTTGGAGCAAGTAATTTGTGTCCACGGTATAAAAAGAAGGCCTCCCAAGCTATAGCAATCATTGTATCCTGGGATTTCGACGAGACAACATCATAAATGCCAAAGTTGAAGAATTTTTTTTGTGTACATGTTTGCTGGGTGCATACATCCATTCTTTGCGTCAGCAAGAAGAAGGCCGGCAGCAGTTACAGAGAGGGGAGGCCAGAGTGAAGCAAGCAGGAAGAAGGCGGATAAGAAGGCCAAGATCCATGTGGGTAATGCGCAAATGGTTATCGGAAGACAGAAGGTAGCAACTGGGCCACTACTCATAATTTCTCACTCGAGAGCGCTCCCCATCGAAGATGTCAACGCCTTCCAGAACTATCTGAGGATTCCTCCAGAGTTCTTTGACGAAATCCTGGGAAGAGTAACACCAGCCGAAGAGACAAGATACAAAGTTCCGCTCGGCACTTCTCCTAGCAGGTGCATCTTCTTCAGCCTCATCAGCCTCAGGTTCAGGTTCCAGTTCAGGGACCGGGTCAGCAGCAGCAGCACGCTCCCCATCAGCTGGCCCCGGTGAACGGCGAGGATCTTCAGGTTACTCCTGTTCCTCTACTGGTGGTGGTGGTGGTGGTGGTGGTGGTGGTGCAGGATAGATGGTGTTGGGGGGAGGGGGGGGGGGCTTAGTACGTCTTGTCTTCTTCGGTAGCATAGCTTGGCCTTCTTTTTCTTTTTTTACTTTAAGCACCTAAAACATACCCCTCAAGACGCCACATGTCACACTCATGGTAACGAATAGGTAGTCACATATATGAGTTAAAAAGACTCACTTCTTTATGGACAAAAACCATTGTAAAATCACAACATCCCTTTAAAAAGTAATAAATGTATTTGTATCCAA